GGGCTGGGCTGGGCTGAACTAGGCTACACTGGGCTGAACTCAGCTCAGCTGGGCTGGGCTGGGCTGAGCTGAAATAGGCTAAACTGGGCTCAACTAGGCTCAGCTGGGCTGAACTGGGATGAGCTGGGCTCAGCTGGGCTCAACTGGGCTGGGCTGGGTTGAGCTGGGCTGAACTAGGCTGAACTGGGCTCAGCTGGGCTGGGCTGGGCTGGGCTGAACGAGGCTACACTGGGCTGAACTCAGCTCAGCTGGGCTGGGCTGGGCTGAGCTGAAATAGGCTCAACTGGGCTCAACTGGGCTCAGCTGGGCTGAACTGGGATGAGCTGGGCTCAGCTAGGGTCAGCTGGGCTCAACTGGGCTCGGCTGGGCTGAGCTGAGCTGGGCTGAGCTGAGCTGAAATTTGTTGAGCTGGGCTGAAATTGGCTGAGCTGGGCTGTAATGGGCTAGTGACTGAGGTGAATGGGAAGGGGTGGGCTGGGTTTGTATCACCCCCCAGAGATCTAGTCTCTAGCCAGGCTAGTCCCTGTATTCTAAGGGGTACATGGGGGCATGCTTCTTAGGTTGTACCCATGATGCTTTCTGTCCCTTCACCAGTTCCCTGAAGGGAATTGGTCCTGTACATGTGGGTAGACCACACTCTGTGTTTCTGCCTTTTCCAGTAGGGACATCCTCCAACTGAGTTGGAATTGGGCCTCTGACCTCCAAAGCCTCGTAGACCAGAGATCAACTGTCACTAATAGGGAGACTGGGGGTGGGATTAGTGAGGGGTGAGTGGTTTGACGGGGAGCCTAACTGGGAAGTGGGAAGGGGGTCCCAGGAGGAGCGGGCCCCCTCCCCTCCCCGTGCCACCCCCTGCACAGCCAAGAGGCCATGGTGCAGGCTTGCTTCAAGCCTGGACTGCTCTGTCCTGGCCTGTGCCCTCCCTCTGGGCCCACCTCCGTGAGCCCCAAAGCCCAGCGGAGAGTGTGTCTGCACCCATTGCACAGATGGGAAACGGAGGCCCCAGCAGCTCCTGCAGACTCAGCCAGTGAGTGGGAGAGCCATGTTCAGTAACCACAAATCCAGAGGCCTTCCCTGAGGAATGTGTCCAGGCGGTCGTGCTAGAACCCTGAGGACCGTGTTCCGAGACAGTGCAGCTGGGCTCAGGCATCTGGTTCCGACCCCAGGTCCTTGGCATGTGAGCTGAGAGCCTTGGGGCAGTCACTCGCCGTCTCTGTGCAAGCTTCCTCCAGTGCGCAGGAGAGACAGGCTTCGTGCTGGGATTGTGAGGCTGCGTCAGGGGTCCAGGGTGCTGCCCACTGCCTCACAGAGTGTCCTGTGTTGCAGAGGCCAAAGCCAGCCCCAGTGTCTTCCCGCTGAGCCTCAGCAGCACTGACGAAGCCGGGCACGTGGTCATCGCCTGCCTGGTCCAGGGCTTCTTCCCGCCAGAGCCCGTGAGTGTGACCTGGAGCCCCAGCAAGGAGGGCGCGTCCGTCAGGAACTTCCCCCCAGTGAAGGACGCTGCTGGGAGCCGGTATACCATGAGCAGCCAGCTGACCCTGCCGGCCAACCAGTGCCCTGACGACTCGTCCCTGAAATGCCAAGTGCAGCACGCCTCCAACCCCAGCAAGTCTGTGTCTGTGCCATGCAAAGGTCAGAGGGCAGGCTGGGGGCTGGGGGCAGGGCGGGGCCCCACATTCTTCTCTGACCAGCCACCTGGAATCGTGCCCCCGAGGGCACACCACTGGGACGAGAGCGGGCTGCCGAGACGGGGCCCCCATGGAGGGGCTGGGGGTGGGGAGGGCAGGGGGCCGAGGGCACACTGACCTGCTGCAGTCTCTGTCTCGGTTCCAGTTGTGGATAACTGCACTTGTAAGTGTCCCTCGTGTGACGAGCCCCGCCTGTCACTGCACCAGCCCGCCCTCGGGGACCTGCTTCTGGGCTCCAATGCCAGCCTCACGTGCACGCTGAGCGGCCTGAAAGACCCCAAGGGTGCCTCCTTCACCTGGAAGTCCTCCGGCGGCAAGGACGCCACCCAGAAGAGCCCTGAGCGTGACCCCTGCGGCTGCTACAGCGTGTCCAGCGTGCTGCCAGGCTGTGCGGAGCCGTGGAAACGTGGGGAGACCTTCTCCTGCACGGCCAACCACCCCGAGTCCAAGAGCCCGATGACCGTCACCATCAAAAAAGACCTAGGTAGGCGCAGACCCTGCCCGGGAGGCGCAGCAACCCCCGAGCCCGCCTCCTCTCTCCCACCCAGTCTACGGAGGGAAACTGAGGCCAGGGGTGCCCAGGGCAGAGGGGGCCCTCCCCCCTGCCAGCCCAGACCCCTGACCTGGCTCTCTGCCCCCCAGGAAACACTTTCCGGCCCCAGGTCCACCTGCTGCCGCCGCCGTCGGAGGAGCTGGCCCTCAACGAGCTGGTGTCGCTGACCTGCTTTGTGAGGGGCTTCAGTCCCAAGGACGTGCTGATCCGCTGGCTGCAGGAGACCCAGGAGCTGCCCCCAGAGAAGTACATGACCTGGGAGCCCCTGAAGGAGCCCGGCCAGAGCGTCCCCACCTTCTCCGTGACCAGTGTGCTGAGGGTAGACGCCGAGGCCTGGAAGCAGGGGGACAAGTTCTCCTGCATGGTGGGCCACGAGGCCCTGCCCCTATCCTTCACCCAGAAGACTATCGACCGCCTGGCGGGTAAACCCACCCACGTCAACGTGTCTGTGGTCATGGCAGAGGTGGATGGCGTCTGCTACTGAAACGCTCACCCGCCCCTCCCTGAATAAACTCCATGCTCCCCTGGAGCAGCCCCGTGCTTCCATGAGGCCGCTGTCTGTCCATATTCGGGGTCTGTGGCACACGGAGGCAGGGGAGGGCCCCAGGGGGGAAGGGCAACTGCTTTCCTGACCCTTTTGGGCTTCACTTGCCTGGGTCAGCCTGGCACCTCCACGTGCCCTCACACCCGTGGACTCGTGTGTGTGTGTGTGTGTGTGTGAGCATCAGTGTGAGCGCATGGTCCATGGCGGGCAAGCTGGGAGCAAAACCCGGGGCTGACAGCCAGCAGGTCCTGAGAGCAGGGGCACCAGCAAGCCCTCCATGGGCAGTGATGTGCTTGCCTGTATCTCAGAGGGAGGCAGGGGAGCGGGGCCACTGAAGAGGCTGGTGTCCCTGTCAGGAGTCGTGGCAGGAACGGGGGGAGGGCAGGATTCCAGGGGGGCCCACACCACCCTCGGCGAGTGCAATGCACACAGTTGCAGGACAGCCCCGCAGGTGCACTCGACAAGGAGGTCACCCTGCTCCAAACTGCTCTGCACACAGCACACCCACGCACACACACAGTCTCCCCACGCTCGCAGTCACACGCCCTCCAGGTGCAGGGAGTCCCCCCGCTGGCCCCAGCCCCAGCAAGATTCCCCACACCCTTCCCTGCGTGCCCACTGGGCACAGCTCAGGGCCCAATTCCACAGACCCCGCCCAGGCAGCCCCTGCCCCTGCCTGACCCCCAGACTCAAGTCTCCCACCCCTTCCTGAGCCCAAGGATGGTCCGAACCACAGATGGGGGGGCAGGCTGGGGAGGGGTCAGTAGAGACAGCCCCCACCCAGGGCCCCTCTGCAGCTTCTGCCGGAGGCTTCTGGCAGAAAGGGAGGTTTGGGGAGATGGAGCATAGAAGCAGAACCATGGCCACCGTGGGACGGCTGGTGGTACGGTTCCCACAAGGGGGCAGCGGGGCCCCTGCTCTTGCCTCAGATACCTTCTGGGCTTCCCCAGGGGACCTGGCCTTCTGGCTTCCTCCCTCTGCTCCCAGGACCAAAGTGAGGTGGGGACCCCTACCCACATGGTCATTGCTCCCCTCTCAAGGGTCCAGTCACCAAAGGGCAATAGAGGGAGCAACAGGTTAACTGGGGGGAGTGCTGCCATACAGGAAACACTCCAGCCACCAAGAGAGCCAGTACCTGGCCCATAGAAAGAGTATTCTAGAGAGGTGTGGAGGGGAGGAAGGGTCGGTAGATGGGCAGGGCTGCAGAGGGACAGATCACAGGACATGTACTGGATGGAAGTATGGACAGATGGACGGATGGATGGGGAAAGGAGGGAGGGATGGATGGATGGATGGATGGATGGATGGATGGATGGATGGACAGACAGGTGGATGGGTGAGTGGATGGATGGATGGATGGATGGATGGTTGGATGGATGGATGGATGGATAGATGGACAGACGGGTGGATGGGTGAGTGGATGGATGGATGGATGGATGGATGGATGGATGGATGGA